GTTTGAACTGCAAGGTTGGTGGTTCATGCTCATTAGCTGCTTCTCGGAAACCCTATACAGGGTCGCTATGGGTCGGAACCGACTTGACAGCACTTCACAACAAAAACAACATATACATATAAGGTGGCATATGTGAGTACATATGCATGCATGTATATGCGTATCTGTAGGCATGTGTATATACATGTTTGAGCATGCTACATATTATATTCATATGTAAAAATGCACAGAGGGGCACAGTTATGGAGACTGATTAAAAATACCCAAATACTTCATGAAATTGGTTTACTGGGTTAAAGACTTAGGACCATAGTCTCCTCAGACAACTCAGTCAAATGGCATAACATAGCTGATAAAGATAATGTTCAACATCCTAGGTTCAGTGAGTAGCAGCTGGAGTCTTAAAAACTTGTAAGTGGCCATCTATGATACAACTATTGGTCTCTACTATTTGAAGCAAAAGAGAAAGAAGAAAACAAAGAGTTAAAGAAGAAATTAGTCTACAGGTCTAATAGCTCTCACAAACCACACACCCTGTAATTTATAAAGGAAAAAGTCCTTACTTGGTAATTGATTGACAAAAAGCTGCCACCTCCTCATTCTGTACTTCAATTTCTTGCATAAGAGAACTTCCAGTTGGCAAACTACTGGTCCCATTTGAATCTTTCTGTAATAATAATAATAATATTTTTATTTAAAAAGTGGATGATCCCCAAAATGCTATGCAGCAGCAAAGCACAAACACAGTTTTCATGTAAATGTATATAAAGATATGAAAATAATATCAATCATATCAGTAACATTTAAAATTTAATAAAATTGTATTTGTAAAAGCAATGCCAACTAAACCTCATTTTATTTTATATATTTTAACTTTTTACTGTGAATTAGTGAATGTGTACAAAGAAGATCATCAGTTTTACATTAAAAAAACATATACCTGAATTCATCTCAATGCTTGAAATCCCCTACATGTAACAAGAGCTATCTATCTCACTTTCTCCCTGTGGTTCCTATTTCCATTCCACTCTCCTTCCCATCCCTTCTCAACTTTGCCCTTAGGTAAATGTTGCCCTTTGCATCTTGAATGATTGACCATTTTATACTGAACATTCCCTACTAGTGGTGTTGTTCCACCTATGTACCTATCTATTGCTTGGCTGAAAATTGGGCCATAAGGGTGAGTTCCATTGTAGACTTACTGGGAGACCAAAGGCCATAGTCTCAGGTTCCTCCGGTCTCTTTCTGTCCAGTAAGCCTAGTCTTCTTTTATAACTTTGAATTTTGTTCTACATTCTCTCCTACTCTATTTAGGACTATCTAATGGGATCCCTTTCACAGCAGTTAGCAGTGGTAGCTGAGCACCACCTAATACTTCTGGTCTCAGAGTCATGGTGACTGAAGTTTACCTGCTCCATTGTCCACTGGACTAGTTGATTCCAAGAATCTTCAATTTATAACACTGTCTTTCTTCCACATGTGTAGAAATAGTTGCACCTTAGATGGCTGCTCATGAGATTTTACGATTCCAGTTGCTATTCACCAAAGTAGGATATAGAACATTGTCTTTGTGGACAATGCCAGTTGACCATGGTGTCCCCTGAGATTACGGTCCTGAGCCTTCAGGCCTACAAACTCAGTGCCTTAAGATGTTTGATAGTATCTGAGAAGTTTTCATCTTTTTGCTTCCTGTATGCTAAGCCTTGAGTCCTGGTGTGGTGCTGTAGGATAAGCTCTAGACTTCCAACCACAAGGTCGGTGCTATGAGTCAGAACCAACTCAATGGCTCTTAACAACAACAACAACAACATGGTAAGCCTTATTTTAAGTTCACTGGTTTCACTTGGTCAAAAGGAGAAACAGGCAGTATTTTGCACTGATGAGTAAAAACAGAATCCCCAAACTTAACATTCAAAATCTTCCTGAAATGAACACTTCAGAAAGTTAACAATGTAATGATATCAAAGAACTATCTCAGTTTTAAGAAAATGAAGAAATCAAGGTCATTTGGAATTTTATATAAATTGAGAATTCTGTATTTCAATTCCAAAAGCAGATGTTTTTTCATATAAGAGAAGTTTCATGAGGCAGTGGGCATTCCCTATGTTTAGAAATGTAAACAAATATCCTGACAGTCATTTAAAAGTTAAGTTTATCTCTGGTCAAAATTTAAATTCCACTAATTAAGATACATTAATCGCCTAAGCATGGCCAAAGTAACCCTGGTGGAGCCGAAGGATAAGCACTGACTACTAACCACAGTGCAAACCCACTAGCCACTCCATGAGAGAAAGAGGAAGTTTCCTGCTTCCATAAAGATTTTGGTGTGGCACTGTAGGATCAGCACTGGGACTGCGAACCACAAGGTCAACAGTTAATCAGTTAACTCTAGTAGAGTTCTGATTATCAAGCCATCGAGGCTAGGTCTACATAATATTTTTAAAGAATTAAGTTCTTTAGATAGCAGTTTCTTTGACTTTATGTCAGTGAATCTTGTTTTTAGAGAGAACAAAATATCCAGCAAATTGAACCAATGCTTAAGTGCCTTCTCAACTGGATATAAAGTTCTACAAAATTAATAAAGTTTAACAAGATTTGCTTGCTGTACTCAAGGTATTTTTATATTAGAATAAGTATAGGTTGTAATGATACGGTGTTTGGCTCAGAACTAAGCATGTGCAAATGTTAAATGAGGGAAGAATTGCTTTACACTCAGTCATTCTGAATGCTGTCAATAAAGTGGTATTCAATTGGACCTTAAAAAAAGGAGTAGATTCTTTACATATGTTATAAGGAAGGCTTATTTGTTACAATTTACTTATTAATTAATGTATCAAAAGAATTTTTGATAAAGGAAACAAGGGTAAGTTGCTACAACTTGATGAACTTGACCTATACTCATGGAGGTTGTTGTTGTTAGGTGCCATTGAGTCAGCACTGACTCATAGTGACCTTATGCACAGCAGAACAAAACACTGCCCGATCCTGGGCCAACCTCACTACTGTTGCCACGCTTGAGTCCATCGATGCTGCCATTTGGCCAATCCATCTCGTTGAGGGTCTTCCTTTTTTTCTCTGACCCTCCACCTTACCAAACATGATATTCTTCTCCAGTGACTGGTCCCTCCTGAAAATATGTCCGAAGTATGAGAGACGAAGTTTGGCCATCTTAGTCTCCAAGGAGCACTCTGGCTGAATTTCTTCCAAAATGGATCTATTAGTTCTTTTGGCAGCCAATGGCACTTTCAATAGTCTCCTCCAACACCATAACTCAAAAGCATCAATTCTTCTACAGTCTTACTTATTCATTGTCCAGCTTTCACATCCATATGAGGTTATTGAAAATACTATGGCTTGGGTCAGGTGCACCTTAGTCTTCAAGCTGACATGTTTGCTCTTCAACACTTTAAAAAGGTCTTGTGCAATAGATTTGACCAATGTAATACGTTGTTTGATTTCTTGACTGCTGCTTCCCTAAGTAGCTCAAAATACCAACTGAGAGGGAAGGAGTCTTCACATCAACTATCAATGCTAACCCCTTAGTACACAGGGTAGATAGGGACGGGTAACTTTGACATTGCCTACCTAAAATGAAGGGTGATAACAGCATGAAGTGACTGGCTTACAAGGTTTCAAAAGGGAGTTTAGATTAAAAGTGTGTGGGGGCAGATAGAATCCCCACTGAATAGTTTTCATCTTGTCTAGATGGGTGTAGTAAAAAGAGATGGGGATAAGATTCTTATGATTCAATAGTGAGTAGTTGTTGTCATGACTAACTGCGACTGCTACCATTGCAAAGGCAGAAGTTTTGTAACAAAAAAAAGGGAGCAGTTAATCTTACAGTCCAGAAACAGAGGACTCTAGGACCATCAAGGGAAAAGAGCACAAGCAGAATGCGGGACCCTATCCAGAGAAGCAGCGACACCAGAGATGGAGGCAGAGATGGAGACACGTAGTGAGGAAGCAGCTGAGGACTCTAGATTCATGGAAAGACAGAGACTGAGTGGTGGTGGCCAGGAGGCAGACTTGCAGAATGTACCCTTTGGTGGTTTAAATTATTATATATGCCTCAGTGTTTTTTTTGTTGTAGTTTTTTTAAAAGAAACAAGCTAAAATGAATAGAGAGAAATACTGTTAACTGATGACACATGGAGGGGATTATAACCATTGTAATGAAACAAAGTATATGATTTGTTGAATATAAAACTGATGATCTGCCCTGTAAATTTTCATTCAATTCATAATAAAAAATTTTAAACAAAGTAATTTTCATGATTAATATTTGATTTCACAAAATAAACCCTTTTTAAGTATTAGTTATTATTAATAATTGTTGTTGTTAAGTGCCGTTGAGTCAGTTCCAATTCATAGCACCCCTATATAGGGTTTCCAAGGAGCAGCTGGTGGGTTTGAATCACCAACCTTGTGGTTCGTAATCCAGTGCTGATCCTATTATGCCACACCAGCACTATCTAACAATTACTGAGCATTTACTAAAGATGAGAGAAGTCTCACTATCCTGGCTTCTAAGGAGCATTCTGGCTATACTTCTTCCTACACAGGTGCATCGTAAGTAACATTTTTCATTTTAACACCTTAAAGAGGTCTTTTGCAGCAGATTTAACTTCTGGATTGCTGCTCTTATTAATGTTGATTTTGGAGAAAAGTAAAATAAAATTCTTGTCAACTTTAATATTTTCTCCATTTGCCATGTTGTCTACTGGTCGAGTTGTGAGAATTTTTGTTTTCTTAATGTTGAGGTGTATGTCCATACTGAAGGCTGTAGTCACTGATCTTCATCAAGAAGTGATTCAAAGTCCTCTTTGCTTCCAATGCACATGGCAGGATGTTTAAGAGTCTTCCTCTAATACTCATGCTGCATTGTTTCTATAGACCAGTTTCTAGGATTTTTTGATTTTCAGCATATAGAATGACAGTGAAAGAATACACAATGGACACCTTTACTGATTTTAAATCATGCACTATCCCCTTGTCCTGTTCGAATGACTGCCTCTTGGTCTTTGTACAGGTTGCCCATGAACACAATAAAGTGTTCTATAATTGCCATTCTTTACAATGTTACCTATAATTTTTTATAATCCACAGAGTTGAATGACTTTACATATCCTATAATACACAGGTAAACATCTTTCTGGTATTCTCTGCTTTCAGCCAAAATCCATATGATATCAGCGATTATATCCTTCATTCTATGTCCTCTTCTGAATCTGGCTTGACTTTTTGGCAGTTCCCTGTGCTTTACACTGTGATAGTCTGCCTCTCAAAATATTTTCTTAAACAACTAAAAAACACAACAACAAAAAAGTGTTGTAATCTTTGTGGGAGCAATGTTGTAGAAAATTGTAGAAGGAAGTATTTTCACTTAACCCAATAATCATCTCTCCTTTTACTTCATTCTTCATGTTTTATTTATTTTTAAGAACAGATTTTGAATATTCTTAGTGGCATGTCTAGATTTTATTTTATTTCATTTTAATAAAAAGCATGCCTTACATGAATTAGGTTCTTTCTTCCCAACAGGTTATAACTTTCAATTGGTAGTTACAAAAATAGATCATAACTAATTTTCTAATCATTCACCAAGGTAACAGTAGATAATGAAAAGTTAGCATCACGTGTTCCGTCCAAACAGAGTGAAACATAGTT